AGACACGACAGATACGACCGACACGACAAATACGACCGACACGACAGATACGACCAACACGACAGATACGACCGACACGACAGATACGATCGACACGACCGACACGACAGACACGATATGACATGACAGACACACAACACGACAGACAGACAGACACGACTAACGACAGATACGACCGACACGACAGATAGGACCGAAACGATATGACATCACAGACACACGACACGACAAATGACAGATACGACCGACACGATCGACACGACCGACACGACCGACACGACAGATACGACCGACACGACAGACACGACAGATACGACCGACACGACCGAAACGATAAACACGACAAACACCTTTTTGTATAATATACAATCTTGTCAAACTCTGCAGCACCAATTGAAATTAATTGTGTGTTCTAAATCAGAGAACTCACTCAAATATACAAATACAAATTGGAGTGTATGTTTGTAATATTGAAATAACCGCTTTTTATTACATGTGTATTCTACACATAGGTAATATAAATGTAAAACAATACTCTTTATAATTTTAGTTTGTCTGTTCGTGTGTACTGGCTAATCTCTGAAATGGCTGGACCGATTTTGACGGGACTTTTATTGGAAGGTAGCTGATGTACTAAGGTACGTAGTATAGGCTACTTTTATTTTAGAAAAACGCATACGAAGTTACTGGTACAGCTAGTATGAAATAAAATACTAGTTAATGAAAATAACAGCACAATAACTCATATAAGCACACTATGGTTACCTAGAAAAGAAAATACAAGCTTCCATAAACACTCAAAAAGAAATCAACACCAAGTACTTCAACCAAAGGTATTTCAACCCATAGATGCTTAGGACTAGGCACTTAATGGTCCCATAGTGATCCCATGTTGGTCACTACCCTATCAAGTAGGCAGAATGACCAGTATAACTCGTTCCACACCCACTCTTACTTGACTATAACCTGCGCACACGCACACGACTCAGGTGATAGAGAATTTTATCGATGGTAGTTATCGCTGTATTTTATTATGGTATTAAGATTTGTTTCTAGAAAGATCTTTGGTTTTCTGTAGACTATTATACTCCTTTTGTAACTTATATTAAATTTTGTTCTTTTTTTCAGAAGTTTGAAGTATTTTTCGAGTTTATCATGAAAATTATATGCATGGGAAATGTAGATTTAAAAACTTTTTAGAAAATAATAGAGATCATTGTTACTTACACAACTGTATAATTTTAACTGTTACAGTGTAACGGTGAATAACATCAGAATAGCTTTGTGTTAACGCGAGAGAGAACTAAAATGATCTTGTACGGCTTAACTAATAAAGTCAAAATCAAAGCATTCATTTCGATTAAACCATGATTTGGTACTTTTGAAATGTCAAAAAATACAAAATAAACTATAGTCTGTCAGTCTGTCCGTCTGTAAAGCTAGGTGCTCATTCCAAAATGTAGATTCGTATGGAGAAGAATGACCGAGAAACTCCATTCATTACTCTTTTAAAAAACAATATATTTTACAATCTCTTTGATGTTATCCAATATTGTACGTATATGTGAGGACAATGCAAAGATAGCTTAAAACATTATACAAATCACAACACTGACTAAAATTAAAAACAAAACCTAAAATTAAATAAAATCTTATAATCCAACATGGTGCCCACATACTTTAGTACTATGGATTGACTGACAATCCATAAAAATAGTACTTCTATACAAGAAAAAGGAATCTCTTCCTTTCAATACAGAAAGAAATATTCGATGTGATAGGGAAACCAAATTGTCTACATTAGAATGAAAGTATCAAATTACCTACTATTGAAATCCGACTAACTACTAACTAACTACCTACATTCGAGTATTCTCCAGTGAAGCCGAACCAACATGCTGCCATAACTTTAACTTGTATACTTAAATTAAATATAATAATCCATTGATGTATACTGAATAAAATATAGAAAACAAATGTAAGGTGCTAAAAACGCGCGGTGACTGTCCTAGTACCTTCTTTGAAGCAATTTTATTATGTTTAGTAGATAGTGCCCTTATCTTAAGAGGGTACACAAAGTAATATGTCAGACCACCTCAGTCTGGGTGCTATTGTTTGAGATAAGATCAGTAATCTACGCAAAGAGGTGCGTGGGTGACAATTACGAAAACTTTTATAAAATGTCCTTTTAATAAAAATATTATTCTTATATAATATACGGTTCTTCTACTCAAGATTTGTCCCCAAATTATTAGTTTAGATGCTAGATTTTTCGATAAAAATAACAAAAAAAATTGCTATTTATTCTCCCAGCTTTGTTCATGACTGTGATTTCTGATCCATAATTTGTGTAGAAACACCATTTTGATTTAAAATGTTTTTAAACATAAAATTCTAGCAAAGTAAAAGACATTCAGCTTTACGTTGATATACATAAGTCATATATTCATTTCGACACTGAACGGTCAGTGACTTTCGTCCATCACTGATGCATTACTTTTTAAAACTTATACATTATTATTTTACGATTGAGGTAACACAATACAAAATATCAATTTTACTTCATCGGCTATAGCCTAGTCTTCACAATGGAGTTATAAATTGCATTGTCATTTGGGCGCATTGTCGCCGTTAGTTTTAATAGTGGCAGGACGCGTTGACCCCTAACCGTGACCCTTTAATGGTCATTTGTTGCCGTTGTGGCACTATTATATAGTGCTACTAGATTCGCCTCGTCATTCAAACTTCGCTCTAAGTGATCGCAACACGGGGTCATACTATTAAATCTTAGGAGTAATAAATTCATATGGATCCATGAATAGATGAAATTGATAAGTTTATTGCGATTTGTTTTGAGTTTTATTTCAGACCAATCAAATAATCGTGATGGTAATTTTCATTTGCAACTAAATAGGTATGACAATTGAACGTGGAATTTGATTTTTATTAGGTTTTTACTTATGTGAGACTATGATGTTTACTACTAAGTCAAATAAAATTTATTCTCAATCCTTTAAGTTGTCACGAAGGTCTTCTAAATTATTATTTCATTTCTACGAAACAAAAATAATCTACTAATAATTTACGAAAAAAAGAACAAATATAAATACTTTGAAATACTTTTGCTTCGAAACATCTTTAAAAAAGACCGGGTTCTATTAATCCAATTCGAATATTTTTAATTAAAGTAAGAACACACTTGCAAAGAATTCTTCAAAATGGCGGAACTTAGAGCTTTATCAATAAATGTTACCATTTTCGACTTGACCTTGGACGATGACGATTAATTCCCCAATCGAGAGTCAGTAGGTTGCGTCGTCTAACCGGCCTTGTTGTCATGACGTAACCAACCTGTATGCCTCCAAGTCTCTGAGCCGGCGACGGAGCGAGACAACGCGCGCCAGCGCATCTCGAAAATCGAATTTCTTTTAAACACGCGAAACAAATCGATAATAAATTTAATCGATATTATTAGTGTTAGCTGCCAGTGATTCTATGAAGTATTTATTCACTGTGATGCAGTAGTGATGTGATGTGATCTCGATGATATAATATTGACGAAAGAAAGAAAAACACAAATTGGATTTTCTGAGAAATAGACAAGTTTGCGTGGGACGAAGTAAGTTCATGACCTTTTTGTTTTCTTTTATTTGAGTCTGAGAATTTTTGTTTGTAGAAATATTTGAAAGTGTCACTGTAAGTAATATTTTCTTGTAATTTGTGTGATTGAATTCAAATATATCCATTATGTGGGATTAACAACTTTGTAACGAATTTTCTTGTGTTACTACAAAAAAACTAACATCAAAATTATACAAGATGTTTTTATCGTATAACCAATTAGTAAAATTACTTTTAAAATTGCCATTTTATTCAAGAACCAAAACGAAGCGAAGAGTTAAAGTATTTTGTTTAAAAATCTCGCATTAAAACTGTTAGATATGAATTCGTGGAAGTGGTTAGTCTTGTTTGGTGATACTTTATTTATGAGCACATCTAGTATTGGATTAATTAAAGATGAAACCAGTTCGTTGCCCTCTTGTTTTGGTTGTTGACTGTCGACACCTTGTCGACACAAACTGTAATCAAATGATAATTTAATGTATGATCGCTCAGCAAAATGGCGCCATTTCATTTTATATTTTCATATATAATAATATTAGATTCTAATTTTTAATAGTCTTTATGGATTTCTTTTTTAGTGATGTGTCCTTTGAAATTATAAGATCATTTAGATACATAAATTTAAGTCATTTTTGGGTGTTGTCTAAAATTATGTTAGTATTAACTTTTTAAATTACAATGTTACTTATAGAACAACACAAAGAAGAACTAATGATCAATACAATTAAACATCATTGTGATAAAAATACTCGTAATTTAAGTACCTACTTACTTATATATGTAAGTCAACTATCACATAATAAGTATTTGTCACCATTTTCCATATTATTAGTAGGTATTAATGTTGTATTTTATTTATGACTGCTCGTTGGCGGAGTGGTCACAAGTGCGACTGCCGAACAAGGGATCTCGGGATCATATCCCTGGTTTTTAAAAAAAATTACTTTAGTAGCACGGAGTATGGAATTGTGCCCGGTTTATGGCAATAGGCTCACCCCCTATTACACGGGACTCATAACATAAATATTGAATAATGAGTGTTACATTGTGAGTACACTGGCATTAAGTGCCTTACTGTTACACCTCTGCCTGCCTCATCGAGGATAAGAGGCGTGATGTTATATTTAAAAATACTATTTTGGTTGATTATGTATTTTGTAGTTTTACCATTCAAATCTTGCATGATGATATCATTCTTATATCCTTTAATAGGTACTTGTTTTAGACAATAACCTGTTGGGTTAGATATATTTGTATTGTTTCTTAATGACCAAGTGTTTACATCATTGCCTGGAATATTGTTGTAGGACTGACATTAGGTATTATTTAGGTCATCGTTACCTACGTATTGTTTTATGAGACAAGTCGGTAAAGGAGCAGACGTATCACCTGATGGTAAGCAATCGGCGTCGCCCATGGACACCCGAAACACCACAGGCGTTACAAGTACGTTTGAGTATTGTTGGAGTTTCGGGGGTTGGGGAGATTGCGGAGGGTGCGGGGTACCTCATTGGGCCCCCAGATTATATAAGTATTTTATTATTGAAATATGACCGATGAAGAAAAGTAAACAACATTACGAACTCATCATTAGATGAGTATGAACTCATTCTACATCAGTAAATATCTCAATAAGATAGGGAGCGAGTTTATATGAAAAAATGAAACATTAAATAATGCAATAACTCCTTAACATTACTTTAGAAATAGAACTCATAAAAAATCGCACAGCACTCGCAAAGACCATATAACCAAGCAAGATAAAAATCTAACACTGTAGTCTTTTCTATTGGATACTGAGATGAATCTAATTATAACAAAAAACATAATGATGAACATTAGATTAAGGAAAATCCTAATTTCGTGTGGTCGTAAAAACTAAAACCTTCGAACTACATTCAAATTCATAATTATATTTCACATACGCCTGTATGTATGTACCAGGTACATACTTATATTTAAAACAATGTAATGTAGCTGGTCTACTCAGACGACTGATGACTCTTATAAAAGCTGATGGTCACCACAAAGGTGCTGTTAGCCATCAGATTAATAAACAAAAATCACTACCTAATCTTTCTCGCACAAAAGTCATTCACCTTTAAAAGTGTTATTTAAAAATAATTTGTTTATTAAACGTAATAATGGAAACAGTGGACGTGGAGCACAAGATCTCCTATTCAATCTAGGCTGAGTCAATACACAAAAAGATTTTTCGGTTTCGATATTCTATTCGTTAGTAGTACCTCAAAGTAGGTCATGGTCTTTTTTCAGTGTTCGGCAATTTGAAAATGTTAGGTTTTAGTTGTTTTAGACTATTTACTGTACAATATCCTAATGTTCCTCATTAGACAAGCAATAAGCTAATGTTTAGCTAAAAACGACTTCATTGCTGACATAGCAATGAAGTCGTTTTTAGCTAAACATTAGGTCACTTTGAATGCTGAATAGGTTTGCCTAATTTTAGCATACGCAATATTCACAAACATGGCTAAGTTACGCCTACGTGTGTCGCTTGTTGCTAACTAAAATTCGATATTATACTAACCATTGTTACTGTTAAGTTTCACCTAAAAATCCAACGTTTAATAAGACTATACTAGTACAAGAATGCATTAATAAGATTAATTTATCGAATTCAATCAAATATATAATAAATATACTCTTTTTTTCAACATAATTATACCACAAACTGGCAAAAAGTGGTTTATTTACATGAATATCGCTAACGACCTCTTCTGAAAATAAAGTAATGCGTTGCTTCCCCTTTTTTTGAGGAGGGAAAATCATTCAATGACTTCTCCCGACCGGGTGAGGCGAGAGGGAGTGTCAGACTCTTACAGACTAAAATCCACCCCGTTACTTCTCCTGCACTTCGAACCGGAGCCCCGGCAATCCGTTAAGTCTTCCGCGGCTCCGTAGCGTTGCTTCCCCTAGAACAAATGCTTGCACTTAAGATCCGCAAAAACTGTGTTATGTTAAATAGCATAAGGAAAAAGCATGCATATCACAGTCATACATACGTTTACACAAACATAAATATAATTACTCACACTATTCTACGCTTAGTGGCCATTACCCACATCTGTCGCACCTTGCATTAAAAATTATACAAAACCTTCAGTCGAGCCGTGCACAAGTTGATCTTGACCGGCTCTTACTGAAAATGGTTATTTAGGGCTTATACACATATGAACAGAAACTCTTGTTAATAGTAGATACCACTACAATCGGCCACGTGATGGCAGTAGCAGCCGATATATAATTGGCAATACAAAGCTAGAAGAATAGTTAGTTACATGATTCAAATTATACTTTAGTTTAAAATGAACAGCTATCGTAAACGCATCAACTATTATAGACTGTGACTCGACTCGAGACACATGCAAAAGCTAATAATACCCAGTTATTGATGAGAATGTGTGCCCTTGAAGAATGCTTCAATGGATAGCTATCGTCAACAGGTGGCAACAGTTATCAACCGTTGACACCTGTATCTGTCAATAGCAAAATACCACATGTGTGTACGACCCCTTATTCTACGTCAGGTACATATTTGTGATGCAAATTGCATGCACAGCTGCACTATGCATCGTGCATCACTGATATACTAGAGGTACATAGATGCTTGTAAAAGGACTATAGGTTATATTTTACGCATTCAACCCTCATAGTCCCTTTGGTACGATTGTTGTAGTTTGCTATTGATTTGTAAACTGAGGAGCATTAATTATTATTGTTGTTTGTTTTCCTGCGTACATTATTACATGGTTAAATATTTATGGCAATGTTGGCATTTAATAATTATTTTAATAATTAATTGATGTTTACTGTAAGTACTTAGGAATGGCGAAAGATGGATCTTTAATTTGACATGAATGTGAATCTTTATTTCGCCTAATTTTACAGACAGACAGATGGTAAATTAAATTATTGACGTTTTAATAGTGCCAATTTAGGTATTAATTAAAATAAAATATGCTTTTACTTTGACTTTGACTTTGACAATCGTTGATTCGACTTGTTGTTTCATTGTTATTATCTCTTTAGTTTTTACAATACTATGAAGATTCTAATTTTCTATTAAATATTAATTATCAATAACAACCTTTTACAGCCATAAACTTACTATCAAAAATATCACTTGGTACACACAGCGAATGTTACTTTAACAAAAAAAAATCTAAAATGTGACTACAAAACCCCACACAATTTTCCTCGCAGCAATAATAATTTCTAATCTCCAAAGTACACTCATAGGATACAGAATAAACGACCTAATTTTAATACAGCCAAGCATTTTAATAGGCACTAAATGTTATTAACAAAATGGCGCCTCAACCACGCTTACTTTTATGTCGCAATGGCTTATCAGACGAGTGTGTTCGCGCTCCAAATTGATGTAAATGGGACGGAAAGATTATCGAGCAAGTTTTACTTTGTTATGTTAATCATATGCCTAGGTTAAGTTAGAAGGAAAATGTCGTGTTTGTTCTAAACAGAAGCGATAAGAGTTAAATAAATAACATAACATAGCATCACGCCTTTTATCCCCGGAAAAGTAGGCAGAGGTGCACATTACGACACTTAATGCCACTGTACAATGTAATACCCATTTTTCACTATTACTTTCACTTATGAGTCCCATATAATAGGGCATATTTCCATATACCAGGTACAATTTCAGACTCCGTGCTACAACTGAGAATTTTAAACAAAACCCAGTAATACTTTGCCGGAAATCGAACCTGAGTCTCCTTGCCTAGCAGTTGCTCTTGCGACCACTCGGTCAACGAGGCATTCATAAATTAATTATTGTTAGCATATTCTATATGTCAGTGGTTGGATATGAAGAGTTAAGGATCAAGCTTAGTGGTTTTATATTGAAGAAGGCATTATCTTACGAACATGAACGTAAATAGGCAAATAGGCAGATGTTGGTGATGACGATCATGCATCGTCATCACCAACATCAGTCTTATTTCTGACTATAATATTATAAATGCAAAACTTAGGGAGTTTACGTGTATGTTCGTTAGTTTTCCATGACATAATGGTTAAAGGCATTAGGATAACATTTGGAACAAGGGTAAATTATGGCCTGGAATAGCACATAGGCTACTGTTGTCCTATGGGTTCGTGGGCGAAGCCGCTGGCAAAAGCCAGTTAAAAATAAATCAAATAGATAAAATTCTACTATGAGCAATAAGATACGCAGAACACTGTACTGGCAATAAAAATTGAACCAAATGTGCTACAAAAAAGCCAAATAAAACAAATAAAAGTAAAAGAAACACTTGTGCAACATACATACACGGTTTGAAAGCCCAAAGAGCTTGTCTAAACTGCAGTTTATTTTCGTATCGCCCTTTTAACTTTAAAACTGAAGTCGGTCTTTGAATCTTCAATGTGGCTAACAGAAATAAACTAAAGCTAGGAGATCAAAGACTATGTAGAAAGTCCAAACGGTTTTGATATGTTATTGAAAGCATAGCCATGTTAGTCGTATGGTTATAAAAATGCTACCGTGTAGTTGAAAGCTATTCTGTACGCTAGACATTGTCAACAGTCTTCAGCCGCAAGACGTTCTCATGAACATTACGGGCTCTTTTATGCGAGTGGTGTTGCTGTTAGAACACTGAAAAGGGGGCACCTACCCATACCTTAGTGGCTGATCCCAATTTAATGCGTCCAAATTCCTAATTTATCCTAGCTATAAATCTGGGCACCTATGTCCTAACAATACAAAAAATACAAGCAAAATTATAGCTTAAAAACATTGTAAAACAACTACTACTTAAACCCGATTTCACATCTTAAGCATTTTTCTTCGTATTTTCAATGCTACAAAGCAGACGGTCTTAATCCAGGGATTGGCCCACTGCACCATTTTATCTCAAAAGTTCTCTGCAGAGAAAGAGTTACAAAACTAATTGCATTGAAACTGGGTCAAGATATTATGTACCTAGCTACCTACGTATTTGAATTCAAATATGGTTCTACACCTTTTATTGCTTACAATGTTGATTGGACGGAAGACACGTGGTGTGATTGCCTTTTATGTGGACTAGCTACTTAGGAACCAGGTGTCCAAAAAATTATTATGACTGTAGTTTCCAATGTGCCCCTTTCATCTATGTGATATCTGAGGTTTTGATGGAAGTACCTACCGTAGATACTTTTGTTTTGTGAATGTGATCTTTGGTTAATCATCATAATTCATCATCATCATCATCACTGTACGCCTATGGTTATTGCTCGGATCTAGACATTATCTTTTGGTCAACTAGAAATGCCCAACTATTAAGTTTGGAGTATGTCAATATAATATTATCTTTATGTTCGGCATTTCTCTTGGCCTTGAGTATTCCCTCATACATAACTTTTATTAAAAAGTACCCAGTACGGATTTGATTCAATAACTTGCTTGAAAAATGCAAATAAAAGGAGGATTTTTTACGTATCCTATTCTTGTCGCATAAAACCTATATAGAAAGGCCACCTTTCTGCATCTACTTACCTTTTTATAGCCGTTGCTCCCGACCTTGGCCCGTTCACCCGGTCCCTCTCCCTACTGCAACCTTTCCAGCGTTCAGCGAACCGTGCAGTCGCTTCCTCAACAACCATTATTTACAAAACCTTCAAACTCATTAAAAACATCTTTGTCAAAGGTCCAATTAAATTGGTCGTGAACTACAGCGATTAGGTGCGGTGTACCTAAGTAACTGAAATAGCACATCGTGTTTTGATAGCAAACGTTTCGGTTGTGTGTTGTGCATAGACGGGTTTGTTTTGATTAGTTTTGTGTGTAGTCATATAAACCACGCAGTGTATGTTGAACAATGAACTATTGTGTGTATTTGTGATAGTTCAAATGACAATATCCGAAGAGCCTACGTTTGGATCGTAAAGGCCAATTCAATTAAATTTTATGTCAAGTGAGTTACTCGAGTGTTTACGTATAATGAAAGTCTGATCTTAAAGATACCTTGACCTTTAATTTTATTCCGTTCCTTCTCAGAAATGAATATTACAATCATCATCACAATTTCGTATTAAAGTTAAGTATTCACAGAATGTAATTGCTAACAGTTTAGATCGCGATATTTTAAATTTTTGTTACATATAGTTACTGGTATATTCTTCAAGAAGTGTTTTGACTTACTTTGACAAACGTTTCTTTTAATATTAACGAAATATTTTACACAATTTTCCTTCGCACCTACTTAATAAAATTACAATAGTAAAAGTAGGGACTTTAGGCCATTTTATCATACAAAAATAAGCCGCCCTCTTCATACTTTATTTTTAGAATTAAATTATAAAGTATAACAGAAGACATTATAGGTAAAGATTAACCTCCAGTTAAAATATACAAACAGAAAAAGAACTAGCAAATCGTATATAAACTTTGTACCGTTATTTCTAGGCAACCCTTTGAGGTAAACGGTTGTAATATTATTATGAGAAGGTGTATCTGTATCATTTATCTTTTTTTCTTTTCAGATACACAGATGAAAAGATGACGAGGAAGTTTCTTTTCTGTTTCCCTTTAAGGGTGGGGAATATTATATTCGGATACATTGTAATAGTAAGTATTGCGTATTCATATTATACATTACTTACTTTCTGCGACGCCACGAGGCTTTGCAGTAAAGTATTGTACTTACGATAAAAATGTTATATCTTATTATGTGGGATTCCATTTGAAAATGGATACATAACTTATTTCTGAGTAGTTATTTGGTTTAATAAAACTGGGTTATCGTTAAGCGATTTAAGTGGTTTTTGGATTTTAGATATATTTTTTAACTTAATGTCTTTTAATCGAATTTTAATGTGTTAACATAAAATAAATACTAACTATATACAACTTAAAATAAAAATTAAATAAAGGTAAACTAAAACTAGCAATTTTTAACATAACTATGAATTATAATTTAAATGAAATAATAAATAAATATGTACAAATTAAGATACACTATAACTAAAAGATAAAAATAATAACCTTATATATACCTAATGCATGACATTAGTCCCCTTTTACCTTTCTTGAAACATCACGTAACTAAAAGAATGAGGATATCTGCTTACCCCTATGGGGCAAAGGCGTACTCACATAAAAGACTTATATTAAGTGTCTCAATTGATAAATGAAGCTCACATTCGTACAAGCGCCTGACGTAAATATGCTAATCGAAATTGTGTAACGTCGTCACGTCACGTAGCTTTACCTATGTGTTGTTGTTTTGTGGCTTTGCTTAAATTATTCTATCAGGCGTTCGCCACAAGTACTTCTAGTTTCGAATTAGACAAAGTGCTTTTCAGAGCACTGTTGCTTATTTCGTCTTTATTTAGTCTCATAATATGTCTGCTCTGAGTTTTGACTGTATTTTATATTAATGTTTTGGTCAATTATAACTTAAGTTTGAGCATATTTTTTGACTTTAAGCTACAAGTCACAATTTTTAAGTGAAATTTAAAAAAAAATACTTGATTGTAACATTTTAAACGACTTCAAAAAAAGAAACAGTTTCTCAGATTGACCTGTATGTATGTATGTATATTTGTGCGCGAATATCTCGCGATTGGCTGAACCGATTTTGATGCGGTTTTCAGAAAAAGGTTTGTTACACTTAGGAGAAGGTTTTAATTTAAGTGTATTAATTATCCGACTTCAAAAAAAGAGGGGGTTGAAGTCTATTTTTTCAAAGGGTACTAATAATAACTCCATGGTCACACCTATTAACTTAATAATAACATGGTACTAAAACATAACTTGTCTCTATTCCAGCTGATAGCAATAGCGACAGTGGCCTTCAATTTGTACCAGCTTGGCTTGAACGTGACCAACAACTACTTCGAGAAGGATGGAAAGTTTCGAAACTTCGAGAATCTTGAGAGCATATTTGGATCCACAAAGGACTCGCTGGAGAGGATAATCGTCCTTACATATTACCTCACGTATATTACAATAGGAATGATGCTCTTCCTATTTGCTATTATGTTTACCGCAGGCGCTTATAAGGTAAGAAATCAAATTACGCAGACCGTTATATACATATAAATAACTTCACGCCTTTTATCACCGGAGGGGTAGGCACTTATTGCTACTGTACAATGCAACACCCACTTTTCACTATTTATGTTACGAGTCCAATGTAATAGTATACCTCTAGCCTATTGCCATATACCGGGCACAATTCCAGACTCCGTGCTACTCTGCGTTTTTTTTTATCAATACTCTGCCCTACCTGGGAATCGAACCCGAGACCCTTTGCCCAGCAGTCGCACTTGTGACCACTCGTCCAACGAGGCAGTCCAACGTTATTATTGTGTTGTCAACAAAAAGGTTTTGTGATAGATGAAGTCCCGAAAGTATGTAGTTGGATGAATCTAAGGACAACTAGCTTCTGCAACCGGTTTCGCTTGCGTTCCTGTAGCGTAAAAAGTGGCTTGTGGGTTATTCCGGAGCATAATCTAATCCTTCCCGCCTCGCCCAGGTGGGAGTACCCAGTAGATAATTTTCCATTTAAACCCACCTTAAAAAAACATAATCTTTCAAACAAAACAAAACAAAACCATTTCCACCCTTAAAAAAACATAATCTACCCCTGTTCCAAATTCCATCTCGATCCCTTCAGCCATTTTGACGTGAAAGTCTAACAAACACACACACATACGTGCATCCTCACAAACTTTCGCATCCATAATTTTCATAGAATATCGTTTCAAAGCGAAGATATTGGTTCGATTGTGAAAGAATTAAATGTGATTAGAGTCGCATTTTTTTTTAAGGGGGGAAAAAAATCATCGATTGGCTTCTCCCGCTTGGGTGAGGAGGAAGGGAATGTCAAACTCTTACTGAGTAAAAATCACCCCGTTCCTTCTCCTCCACTTCAAGCCGGAGCCCCGGTTACCCGTTAGGTTCTCCGCGACTTCGAATCGGCATTAGAGTCGCATAAGATTTGATTTATCACATTAAATATACATAACTTTGAATAAAATGTTATTACGCTTAACAAGAATGCAGAACATCTTAGACTTAGTCCACCATACAACAATATCATATCACCAAATACAGAATAAACAAACATGGCAATACTTTCCCGCCCTGATACAATCTTTTTACTTAAAAGGAGAAACAAAGTAACAGTTTAATGTGCCCGTAGAGATCCTATCGATATTTATTCAAGATTAATTCAGATAAAATTGTATCGAACTGAGAAAGCGTCTCGAGTGAGCCGGTATAAAACTCTTTGTGATTTTATAAATATACCGGCGAGTTATTGTTTATGCGATTCTGTAGTGGATTCTGTATACTTTTTACGTGTTTTCCATTATCTTTGGTACAGATCTGGGTGTCTGGTTGTCCATGTAGTTGCAAAATTAACTGCCGAACTTCAAGATTAAGGTTTAAATTTCCAGTGAATGTGTCAATTTAAATAACTGTCGAATATCTTTAAGAACTATAATTTCCACAAGTAAACAAATAAGTAAAAACTCATTTTTTTTTTTAATCGACGTAAAAACAATAGTCCTATACTAATCGATCTAGAAAACTTTATTCGAATCACAATCGTCATTGCAATGCATCGCCTGGCCTGTGACGTACATAAGTCTATTCAACTTTTTTTGTATCGTGACGCGAGGCACAGATAAGATATCATTCAGCCAATAACGTCAAGAGATGCACGCTGACAGTTTGTTACGCAATACGATCTATCGATCGATCTTCAGTATCGGGATGACATTAAATTAAAATAAGTATCAACTTAAAAAAAAACTTATGTCCGTTAATTTTCACCAATCACCTCTAAACTGCCACTTAAAAGTTACTTAGTGTAACGTAGCACCTAAACTAGCTACTTCTTCGTACCTAAAAGTGATACCTAACGTATCACTTGATAGAGTTAAAAGTAATACCTAACCTATCACTTTTAGGTTGGTGAAAATAAAAAATGACGTTGAATATCACCTATCTCAGCTTAAAGGCTCCCTTAAATTTAGTAGCGCTTGCTAAAACGGGCAGACTCTTAACTCCTACGTAAGATAAAAAAAAGCTTAAAAAATATATTAAAATATAAATAATTTGACCTCCTTTGATGACGTCCTGGTGAACATTGGATGTTTAGACAAAGGCCATGACCGATTCTCAATCGGTGCGCTAACCTGTTATCTAACATGGAAATATATTTCATGTACAGAATTAACTTATATTTTGTATTTATGCACCCTTGCATAGATTTCCTTTCGTAGAAAAGTACTTTTTAACAGAACTTTCTGAAGTGAGATAAATGCAACTCTTGAATCGACTGCCAATAACTTACATAATCTTACCGATAAATCAAATAACGCAACATCACGAACAAATTAAATAATTATAGCAACGAATTGAAGTAAATTAAAAGCTACAAGATTAGTTTTCACAGATTTTCTACTATTAACTTTTGATCAAATACTTTCATTCGAGATTGGTGTTACGAAACAAACCTAATCGATGTAGTTTATGCTTTTGTAATTCGAACAGAAAGATGAAAGAGAAATCAATCAGTTATATGGCGCCATTTTTTATTTCTTATTCAAATCATTGATACATTTAAGTCTATGGCTAATGATTTGATCAAAACAGTTTAAAAAGCCGATATCTTTATTTTCCTAAGCTAAATTTATCATGAACTCCTTTCCTAGAGCAGTGTTCGTTGATATCGGGATACCTCTTGATGACAGGTCGCAGTTTCAAAACATACATAGATACTCAAGTCCTGATAAGATTCAAGTATAAGATTCGTATCACTAACAATAAATCCGTCTTTGTCTATACAGCTTGTTCTTTAAGAAGGTTTATCGAAGTACAGAATAGTCTGTAGAAACTTTGTCACTCGTACTAGAAGCCACAACTTCTTTCTTCAAAAGATTTTCGACTTACTGACTCTGAAATAAAGTCGACAATCAATCATTTTGTCTGCTTGGTACATCTATACCTTTTACAAAGTTGTGTCCTTCTAATATTGAATAGTTAATTAGAACACGATACTACTTTTAACGGCTTTGACAAAAACTAGGAAGACGCTTTGTACGTAAAGTGCATTTTAATGATTCGCTTTTGTTTCTACTTATTATATTTGTGTACAGAATTCATGCAACTCAACGAAAGAATTTTTACGTTTATTCCTAACATTTTAGCCTGATTTTTTATTTATTAGTACCTACAAAGTCCAAATCTAGTATTTAAGTATCTAATACAAATGGTTATAAGAACAAGTTTAGTTTTTTACCCTAACGTACATAATCTATTGTTCATTCCTGGAAATACTAATACTAAAAAAGGTTTACTATATGTATACAGCTTTAGAGGAGTGGAAGGTGGTCAAGGAGGCCTCTGAGATGATAGGGAGATGATCATATCTGAAACTGAAACTAAATAAATAAAAATATTAAATAACCTGAATGATTTTTAATTTACATTTACAGGCGAACCACTGTTTAGTGACAACGTTCTTCGTGTACAGTTTCTTCCACCTCTTCTTCTCAGTGATATTGATTATCTGGGAAGCACTGACTGCCGGCTGGATACAACTGGGATTAGTCGCCCTGTTTGACTGTGAGTATCACTTATAAATCTAAGTCTAAATCTAAAAAAATCACTGCCTTAAAGTACAATATTTTTAGTTAAAGGACCGATTTTTCAATCATCAGTTACTTCTTAACTGAAGATTGATTTGATAGTTATTAGTATGGAAGAATTGTCAAATATTCAAAGTTATTCCTCTGGTAAAATATAACTGAGCATTGAAAAATCAGCCCTTCATGCTCATTGTCATTTAATGAGTACTGAACCCGGTCCTTCACAATTCTTTTCGGAAGAAAATCGTTACTAAGGAATAGTTTAAGTAATCATTAAATCTCTTTGAGTATCGTAGTAAGAAAAATAAACATAACATTTCTTAAGAGAATTTCGTAAACGCAGAAAAGTAATCTATTCTTAAAATAAATATATAATATTCTTAAGATAAAACGAATCAAAGTTTAGGAATCAAAACGTCATTTCTACATATAAAATGTACATAGAAGTGACGTCACCCGATATTTCAAATCAATATATCGTCGAAAGTATTCGTTTCTGTAAGAAAATAAAAAATACGTGTCTAATGATTTAATATAAACTACCAGACGGACATTAGAATATAAATTAGGCATCTATCCTATTATTATAACAAATGGCCACCATGAATTACGAATTAAATCACGAAAACATTACGCCAATTCTTCATTATTTATGTACAGAGAGAAGTTCGCAGGGTCAGCTTGTAAGATAATAAATAACAGTTTCTAATTTATCCAATTATATGACATTGGCCTGCCTCTGATGATTGTGTCCTCATTCAATTAGTGCTAGTAATTGATATATGGTTATAGGATTCAATTATTTTATAATGGTGCCTCCATATGAATAGAAGTTTTTAGTGGAATTTCAATGTATTGTCTAAACAAGAATGCCGAAAATGGGCTATTTTTAATAACAGTAAATTATTGTTTTCTTCTTCGAAATTTCTAGTACAATAATTATTTTTAACCACTAAAGGTAACTACTGTTCTAAAATAGCACACCTACAAATTCATCATAAACTATATATATCTATCCTAAACGATAAAGAAATGTTACGCGAAAACGCGAAGAACCTAACGGGTTACCGGGGTTCCGGCTCGAAGCGCAGGAGAAGGAACGGAGTGATTTTTAGTCAGTAAGAGTCTGATACTCCCTCCCGCCTCACCCAGGCGAGAGCATTCATACGATGATTTTTCCCCCCCTTAAAAAAACCTAAATGATAAAGTATATTAGACGAAAACATCTTCCAATTAATATCATTAGATGAAGTATAGAAATTGGTTCCTAATACCATCCGTAACTAAATCATAATAATAAATCCCCATTCTATTCTCACTCCTTTGAGTAAAACCTTCTTACAATCAAATTGGTACTTCTTTTAGATGCAATTCTCAAATCCATAAAAATTCATTTCCTATCCGATCCGATTTGAAAATTTCCAATAGCTGTGAAATGAATGGGCTTTACCTTCAATTTTTCTTATTACAATCATAACGAACTCGGTATTAGTACCGTTCTGCTTCTCTGAAATGGTTTAAGTGTTTAGTATTGATTGGAATAATTGCGTTTCCAATTTTGAATAATATCCACCGCGTTATTGATTTGATGACCGGACACATTAGCTCAGCTCAAGTGTGGGAGAGCCATGTTTTGGCACGAATGGGTTGGCTTGACTGGTGTTATATCACGGCCTCATAGAAAACTGACATGAAACAACCAGAGCGTTTTGATTCGTCGTTTGATTCGTGAGGTTACTCGACGCCCAATTACTCCGTACCCCGTTTCCTAATCCCCGAATCCCGGCCGGTAACGCACTTGTAACACCCCTGGTTTTTCAGGTGTGCATGGGTGACGTCGATTCCTTACCATCAGGAACCATAGAAAAAAGTTCTTACATGTAACGAATCATTTAACTGGTATAGCGTAGCATGGATAGTTAACCCTATCCACTTCCTTGGGTATAAACTGCCGGATACACCTCATGCGGTAATAAAGTTAATTGTTCATTCCATGCAGGTGTACTACGTGTAGAGAATAAAATTATCAAGCTTCCGAGCCATGAAATGTTTCAACTAATTTTGAGATAGAGGTAGATAAGTTAATACTTAGTAATTAAAGTAACATAAGGTTGTATTTTATGTATAACGGAGATATTAATAATTATTATGTCTGAACTATTATGTGAGTCAAAACACTTATTTATGTTTCATATTAATATGTACTATTGGTATGTAGTGTGTGTATTGGGATACATTTATTAATATAACTACGTTTATCTAGCAACCTCGTTTCAATAAATACAAGACTACTGTAACACTTCTCTGCATCACCCTGCGGTTGGGTAGTAGAGAATTAAACCCGCCATTGTATAATTATATGTACGTACAAAGTGTTAATATAAAAAAAAATGTGTACGACTGAGTGTGCTATCGATATTAGATATATCTTAAGCCTTCTGTGTTATAGTGTGTATCATACCCCACCCTATAAGTAGTGTTAGAATAAGTATCTTTGATTCAAGGTGTCTCCGAACGCCTCACATTACACTTTTATTTGTGTCAATAAGCCTTTGTATCAAATATCAAACTATAGACTCGACGTGCAGGAGAAGGAACGGGGTGATTTTTACTCTTAGAAATCTTCGACAACAGCAACGGTGGCAAGTCAATTATATTAATGAATAATTCTATTTGTTCCAGTGCTCCTCATAGTTTGCCTGTTCAGCGTCAAATATTTGATGGAAGCAATCAGAACAGGGAACATCTACTGCCGGCCAGGAGAAGTTTACTATAAATACTAATTTATTGCTAAACTAAGACCCAATATTCCTTGAACAAGTCACAAGTACAGTACAGTAAATGTAAGAAGAAGTTGTAGATTTGTTATTCGATTTTAATACTTATTTACAGATTTGAATAAGTACTTATTCATTGCTTAGCTTGTGAGGTCAATGACACTGTATATGTTTGGACGCTATTTAATGTAGATTATTTTGTCTCAATTAAAATACTACCATTAATACTATATACTTTATACTTCAGTCATAAGCATCAGATACTCTAATTGAAAACAATGTTTATTGTTACATAAATATAAGCTATTTTCATTTTTATCCGAAAATAGATTAGACTTTTTCAAATAGTGACCTGTTTAACGTGTTAGTTAAGTTAGCTCAATGAATCATCAAATTTTGTAACTCTATGCCCAAATTTAGTGTTTAATACTTCATTAGGTATCCCCTAACTGTACAGATACCGTTAGTAACAAGAAAGTATATCGTCTCGTTTGAAGCCATACTTGGAAATTACGTTTGTATCAATCTATGCCATCTTATCACAATTTACAATCTAGATTTAAAATTATAACAAAGTTTCTGTGAATTGTGTCAATTTCGAGACATTTCTTTAAAACCTGGTAAATAATAAGTGTCTTCAGAATACGTTGTGTTTAATTCCTAAAACAGAAGACGAATCTACATATTGATTGGTTTAATACGAACTTTTGTGAAATGAATTGTATAACCTGGATTTATTTAATATAAAAAATTAAGATCTAAAAGTCAATACGTTGTCGACATCCAAATTAGAATTGTTAACATGTAGTTAATCAATTGTTAAATCATTCAGTACAATTCTGAAGGCACTAACTCCTTATTGGTGACCTAGAATAATGAAGTTATCAATAATTTTCAAGTTAAAAACATTGTATTTATTAAATAAAAACACAACACAAGAAATCACAACAGTCTTACATAATCTAATTGAAATATTTATGTAAAATATATTTTACAAAAACTGGTTTAACAATCATAAACATAATAAAGCTCAAAACATTCCAATATCACAAATTCATCCATCAATCAATCAATCAAAATAAATTATTTAATAAATAGTCAATAAATAATGTTACGTAACTAAAAGATCTATCAATATTTATATAATAATAAATTGTCTAATTGAGAATCATCTGGTGTTCTATTTATTTCTCTTCTCCTCCGTTTCCCTAACATCATGGGTACCACCATGGCCATGGTGGCTGGTACCATGCCAGCACCTACTGCAGCTAACAACGTCGAGCTGTCTGGAGACACATTAGACACAATCTTCCTCTTCACAAGTCTATTCTTATTCACAATTGGCCTAAACTGTGTCATTGCAACATCTAAGTCATTCTTCTTGTCCATATCCCTTTTTGATTCTTCAACAGTTTGGAAACTCTTTTCTACTTCTAACATGCCGCCATGTGACGTCGTCATATTAGTGCGAGCTTTATCCACCGGTAACACAGTCAACGCTACAGCTTGGTGTGATGTCATAGTTGATACATCTGCGCGGTCATCAGCTGGCGGATTTAAAGATCTTTGACGCTTCTTATTTCGGTATCCTTTCGTCGTTGATAACAAAACCCACTGGCCATCACCGTGTGGTGGTCTTGAAACGCGATCGTTTTCATATTCAGGACCTCCAGCATACACTACTTGAGTTGGACGCCTGAATGGACGCTTCTGTGATGAACTCGACGACTGATGAAGAGCCTCGTATTCATAAGGGTAGTTCACGGGTCGCTGATCAGTCACTACAGAATCGGACATACCGTAATACACTGAATCGTCATCGGAATAATTTTCATGGTTATCACAATTTGGCTTGTGTGGGCGTCGTCCCTCGTCAGGAGCCCAGGATGATGGATAACTTGCTTGCTGTGGTTTAGTCCATGATGGTTTTGATGGGATTTCCTGTTCAAATTCTGCAGGTAAATGCAATTTGTTATTCATGTAACTAGGTCGACTAGACGATGGCTTCTTATGCGGCATGTAGTTATAGTTACTCCCAGAATCTTGACTAGATGTAAATCTGTCATCATTGTGGAATCTATCATCACTAGGAAACCTGTCGTCATTAGAAAACCTATCATCATTATGGAATCTGTCATCACTTGGAAATCTATCATTACTGGGAAATCTGTCTTCATCGTCATTCCAGTGACTTGGTTTCTGTTTTTTGATGTTTGGTTTCCATTTAGATATTTTACTTGTAGACCACGCGACCGGTTCCAATGTTACCCATCCATCTTTATCGTCAAAAGGATGTTTGTGTTGTTTGACTTTTAATCGATTCCATGTCGTGTACACTTTGCCATTCCCATCCTGTTCGTCTTTGTCACTGTTCATTGAAGAAAAGCGATCTGCTTTAATTTTGTCCTTTTTAAGCTTAGCAGCTAAAGCGGATATTGCTTGAAGACGATCCTGGGGTAGGTCACCATAATCTTTTAGTTTTTCTGCTGTCAATATGTAATCATCTAATGCGTCCTCTTCCTCACTGTTGAAGCCATCTTGACAAGAAGGCCCATAACATCTTGGACGATTTTCTTCAAAATCGTGAACAATATGGGTCATAAGATTTTTTATTTCAGCATCATCCTTATCCTTGCGTTCAAAATTCATATCTTCCCATTTATCGTCGGGGTTTGCGGAATCTTGTGCTTTTTCTATAATAGTGATCGGATCCTTTCCAGGTACTTCTAGTTGATATGTTTTGATTTTTTTCTCATACTTCTCTAATTGCGTCGGGTCATCGGAGTTCGCGAGCGCAAGGGTAAATACGCAAAAAACAAATAGTTGCACTGTTATTTTCATCGTGTTTATTTTCACTTTCGTCGGTTCGCGTGTCGGCGCGCGGGCAAGGCGCGCTAGTACTGAGCGCTGGCGACCGTCGCAGCCCACTGATATAGTTTTGATTGTGGATGCACACTAACCCTCCCTGCGCTCTAATGCAATGCTGATTCAGTTCGGTCACGACGAATGAGCGAGATAATTATGTGGCGATTGTCGTTTGCCGGCGACTATCTTAATTGACTATCGCGACTCTCAGGGCCGTGACCCGAGCACGGGTGAAACCGTTTTTCATTTTATGGGATATTTTCTCCACAGATAATAGGAAAGTTTCGCAGTTCACACACGACTCGGTGAAATTATGATTCAAATCTCAACGCAAATCAACGACAAAGACATGCAAGCCTACGTTTCTAAGCACAATCTTGTAATCTCTATTATTACTTGAAAAGCAAAATTATTGCTGTGCAGCGCATACATTATGTATGACATCAATGATTTAAATGATAATAAACCACAATAATTCATAAACGGCCTATAATCAAATTATCATATAATTAGAGACCATGTACCTTATTATGCATGATGATGACAACGATAAAATGTACACTGTTTTACTTTAGTATAAACTTTCTACACCAAATGAATCATCACAACAAAGCAACAAGGAGTTAATAAGCTCATGACGCAACAATACAGAAGCTGGGAAAAAATTGTTTACTAGTTGAAAACATTCACTTATGTAATATCAAAGCTATTGGTGCTGTAACAGATACGTATTCAATGTCAGGTATCTACAACAAAGGGACCTGATCTACAGTATCGATATCGATAGCCATGCTTTGTGACATAAGCGACACTTTCAAGACAAGACTGTAAGTTGACCTAAAACATGTGTCTCTGGCTCTTATAATCTATTTTCTTGGCAAAATGTCTGCTCTCTCCATAATAACAAGCCCAGTTATTATTTGTATCATGACGCTGATCAACTTCGCTCTAATTGTACCCTATACTTTTACCAGACGGTCTTGCTCCTTAGTGGCTCGCACGTGGAATGATATTAAATGTTCTCAGTCCCGTATTTTCTCTCTTATTGGTGTTATTGTTTAGAAGCAATTTAGAACAAATTAAGAGTAATATCCGGATGCCTTTCTGTTCTTATTAAGTTTATTGAGGACAGTTTCGATTTGTTTTCTAATGGCTGTGTCGCTTGTGTCTCCAGAAGTTGTATTCATCAGATGAATACGCTTATTGAATGGAATTTATCTGCTCTTATTGTTGTATTTTAGTTCTGGGATTTAGACTCCAAGATGAATAAAGTATCGATTTTGTAGTTGAAAATGGAATGTAGTATATTTTAACTTTTAAGTCTTACTTATTTTATGTCGAAAAACTCAAACGCCACTAAATTTTATGTCGCGCTTATGTATAGTTGAGTCACTACAAATTCTTTACAAATTAATATTGAGTAGTCTTTCAGTATTGGGGCGTTACCAGAGAAGACCTACTGCCGAACATATTTTTTTGCGAACCAGGCATTATTAAGGTCGATGACTTAAACAGAAACAAAACATGTATACAAAACAAAAAACATGAGAACATTCACAGCTCACTCAACCACCATCATCACACTTTTGATAATGATGATGGTTTTGATATAACAGCGTTCGCAAATCTTTCGCGTTATTTTTAGACCACAACTTATGTAACAAACATTTAGTGGAGAAAGGAAACTAAAGAACTATCGTTATACTTAGAAGCTATTAGAAAATTCTTTGTACATAGCCGTCAATGCCGTAATACATTATGTTTTATATGAAAACGTGTACACGCGAGTAGAAATATAATTACTTTTAATGGGTCATTGCGCCGTAATAACAGCTGTATTACCATCTTGTAGTGTCTGTGACAGTATAGTAATCATGTTTGAGATTGCTGCTAAATTAAGGTAGCTTGGGTTTATAATAAAACTAGCGACCCGCCCCGGCTTCGCACGGGTGCAATATGCATGTATTATACATACAAACCTTCCTTAAGAATCACTCTATCTATTAAAAAAAACCGCATCAAAATCCGTTGCGTAGTTTTAAAGATCTAAGCATACATACGGACATACAGCGAAAGCGACTTTGTTTTATACTATGTATTGATATTGTACTAGTTATTTATTTATTTATTTAGTTACCCTTAGTAACTAAAAAAGCGTACACCAAAATATATGATAGGTTTTTAACATATTTTAACAATGTATAGAGTAGCGTAGCCTTAAATAAAGGCTGCCACGACATGTATTGAACAAAGAACAGGATAGGTATTACAGCAAAAAGAACACTTATCAAAATAAATACACCTTAATAATACTTGTTCAAAGCATAATTGTTAGTCTTAGTTATCCTTTTCTTGTATTATAACTTTTGTGAGACGTACTAAATAAATTATTATGTTTTCAGCTTACTCACGTAATTGTTTAACGAGGAACTTGACTAGTTTCAAGCCATGCTAGAGGTTCATATTCATGAGCAGCATTTCGCGACCTGCGACGCGGCGACTGTCGCGCTGCTAGACTAGTCGAATTCCTCGTTAAATAATTACGTGAGGAAGCCGAAAACATAATAATTTATTATTTTTCTTAACAAAATATTCTACCAGGCAAGTTATTCTTGGTTGTTATGCCTCAAGGGCTTGATTCTCAACTCCAGCGCATACAATAACACATTAAATAATAACTATTTAGAAATTTTCAAAGTGTCGCTTCCATTTGTGAGCTGTAGAAAGCATAAAAATAACATTGGCTAGCGTTAAATGAGAATGGCAGGAGTGTTGGGCACCACCGTGACAAGATATGCTGTTGTCACCACTGTATAATACTGGAGTCCTGTCATTTTGTAACTATTGTATTATACTATAACATTTCGAGTCTTATTCGTCAAAGGATTAGTGTTGTGTATCTATGGTATACTCTATGGTCATAGGATAGTCTATGGTGATAGATTATCTATATGCGTGGCGGAGCCCGCCAATTAAAAAAAAAAGGCTATCGACACACTCATTTACTACGTCTTCTGTTTTTTACTAATTCGCGGGCTTCGCCACGCACATAGATAATCTATCACCATAGACTATCTTATGACCGTAGAGTTATACCACAGATACACAACAATTAGTTGTTCGTTTGCTACGTAATGTTAAGAGTCTTGTACAGTACTAAGTGGTGAACTAGTAATGATTCTATTGCTAGATATCAGGCACAATTATCGGCTCAATGCTATTGGTGAGAACCTGCACATTGCCAACGAGATCACTCACATATTTTACACAACTTCGGCAAGTTCACATAAATTTTACTTTTTCTTCTTCATACGATAACATTAATATACTTTTAGCACGTAGAACCAAACTCAAAAGATCGTTTTCTTCATCATATATTCAGACCACGCTTTGGAAAGACAATATCAAGTAAAGTCACACCGTTTCTTATCAAGTAAGTTCAAAGACGGGAAATTTATAATTGGCCTTCGCTTGTCGACCTATTTTTGTAAAGACAGGAGGGGCAGTCGCTTTCATAACTATTATACAACCCACGAACAACTTTCACCTTTGTATTATCATTGTATTCCCACAAAGTCTTTCAAAATCTCTTACAAAGAAACGTTAATGCATTTTATTTTGTTAATTCTCTAAAGTTTTGTACGTAAGTGTCCTAAGTGGTCGGTTTATTGAGAAAAAGATGAATGCAAAACTGTTATGAAAGTGCATTCACTTTCTTTGAATGTGCATTAGTGAGTTCTAAGCAGTGGGTATTAGACGGAAATACTAGGTAGATATAGAATGCCTCGTTGGCCGAGTGGTCGCAAGTGCGACTGCTGGGTAAAGGGTCTTGGGTTCCTGGTTGATTTGCTGGGTTTTTAAAAATTTTCAGTAGTAGCACGGAGCATGGAATCGTGCCCGGTATATGGCAATAAGCTATTACATGGGACTCGTAACATAAATATTAAAAACTGGGTGTTACATTGTACCTCTACAGTGACATTGAGTGCCGTAATGTGCACCTCTGCCTCTTCGGGGATAAAAGGCGTGATCTGTTATGTTATGTTATGTTATGTTACTAGGTATATAATATAGTCTTTTGAATCGTATGAACGATGGAATTAATATAATTCACTCTTCACAAAAATTAGGACTTAAACTGTCAAACACCAAGCGGTCACCGGTGACCGCAACCTATTGTTCTATAATTGTGTCTACAAAACCGGTACTCGACGAGTTAATTCATCTTTGTATAATTATATCTATATTTTATTTACTACTAAAAAGATTAGACCTTCAGATATAATATTTTATTATTATCACAACTACATTTGCAAAATAAAAGAAAGAAAGTGTCATTGCAGCGGTAGTGTTTACGTTCTGAGGCGGCCATTGTTGTAGCTTTCTTTGCAATAAAGTGCAGAACACAACGACGGGCTTAAGGCATTGTTTGACAAAAAGGCAAAGGTTACACGAACATTATGTTTTAACGTGACAAATGAATCTGCTACTGTTTGCTGGACCATTGCAGAGAAGATCAGAATTAAAAATGTGTTTATTGCGGACTGTTTGTGTACTTTACTTTTTAATTTACAAGAAAAATGTGGAAAGAAAGAGATCTTTGTACATTTTAGCCTTCTTTCAACTGTGTAGGGTAGACGTAACTAGAAAGACTTAATCAGAAACTAAAAGATCTGGATTAACTTATAAAAAAGTCAAAGGTTATATTAAACAATAAATAGGTAAAAGTAGCTAAGGTAAATATCTACCTATAGGTAAATAGGTTCTTTTGAAACGTCCACAAACTAAGGACGACGCTTACTGTCGTTAGCCTGCTGCTGCTGCTGCTGTTTTTAACCGGATATTACTGATACTGACACGTGTACTTACTTGCCTCATAACTTGTGACTGGAAATCTTAAATGCCAAAGGTATAGATACTAGATTTGAATTATAAAACAAACGGATCAGAGGTTTAGTAAATGGACATCTCTACTGGCCATTTTTTTTATGGCATAAGCCGATAAACGAGCAGACGGA